AGCTTGGAGAAAGCCCTGCTCCTCACTCATTTATCAAACCTCATCATTTCTGGACTGAACTTTTTAGCACCCCGATGTGCCAGGCACCATGCTAAGTCACCCGGTCTAAGTCACAGAGCGGTGGCTGGAAGGGACGGCAGCCCCTCATTTCACAGAAGAGGAAACATGAAGCTGGTCCCCCAAGATTTCAGTGTCAACAAAGCAGGGGGGTCACAGAGGCGGACGTTCTAACCCAAGAGACTCACAGCGCGCGGATGTGCGGGGCAGGGCTGGACCCCAGGGGTTCCTCTGGGATCCTACATTAACACAGGGCTTGGAATACTGGAGGGTGTGTAATCAATGATGGCTGACTGATAAGCAGGAAGCTGATATACCAGCTCGGTGCCTTCTCTTTGTCCTTCAGCCACCTCTACCAAGCACAGGCACCCCACACCAGGGGTCCGGGCTGGACCAGCGTGTCCCACCACCTCCAATGCCCCCTAAGTCCCCCGAGGGCAAAGGCTGATCCTCCACCCCAGAAGAGGAGGCCAACGCAAGCTCCTGACCACCTGACCGCCTGACCACCGAGGGACAGTTCATGGGCTCTCTCCCTAGAGACGCAACAGGCCAGGGGTCAACCCCTCTACCTAAGAACAAAGCCTCTGAGCTGCCCGAGGGTGGGCAGTTACCCAAACAGGCGCCACCCAAGAACTCCACTGCCTGGTGGCCAAGTCACAGCTCACTTCCACCTCCTCCCCTCCTCACGAGGGCACCCTGCAGGAACTCCTGCAACCCAAAAAGTCATGTGCTGGCAGGCAGCCCCCGAGATATGGCAAGGATGAAACACAGCTCCTGCTTTCGTGGGGCCAACAGCCCCGTAAGGGGACTGGATGCCAACACAATGAAGATACAGTATGATATAGTAAGCACCTAAGAGAGTCATGTAGCAAAGCACTACAGAGAGAGACATAGATACGGAAATGGAGATAGATATGGACACACGCAGATAGCTGGATGGATGGACGGATGGATGGATGGATAGACAGATAGATAAGATCTCATTTGATCCTTAAACTAGCCTGGGAGGTAGGTGCTATTATTATTCCATTTTAGAGATGAAAAAACTGAGACACAGTGAGAGAGGTTGAGTGACTTGCCCTGGGTCACACAGCTGGTAAGTGTCTGAGGCAGGACTAGAATTCATGTCTTCCTGGCTCCAAGTCCAGCACTCTTACCCACTGTGCCACCTAGCAGACAAGAGATGTGCAGACAAAATCCTGTAACAACCACCATCACCGCCACTGGAGTACGAAGAGCAGTAGTAGTAGTAGTAGTAGTAGTAGTAGTAGTAGTAGTAGTAGCAGCAGCAGCAGTAGTAGTTGTAGTAGAAGTAGGGCCTTCCAGGCATCGGGACCACCCCAGTACCCCTCATGAAGTCCCCAGTTTCTCCGCCTGGGGAGCAGAAGCTTTTCATTCTCATGTCCCCCTTGTGATGGCGGAAGCTGAGGTCCACACCGTCTCCACCACAAGCCTGAGCTTCCTTCGAAAAAGCAGAACTGCCCCCTCATCTCTAGCATCTGAGCCTCCCTGGCAGCCTCCTGTGAGCACGTTGGCCCGGCCTGGCTGGACACATCAGCTCTCCAGCGAGGCAAGGCCAAGGGCAGCGGCTGCCCAGGCTCTCTGTCTTGTCCAGCAGCCTTTAAGATCGGAGCAGCCCTAGGGGGCCTCCCTCCCTCTCCGCCCAGGCCTGCCCCTGACTCTCACCACCTCGAGCAGCCTGGCCTCAGCCCTGCCTCTGCAGCACCCACCGCACGCAGACAGTGCCCCTACTCCTCCCGAACCCTGGCCCGGCCATCATCTCTTCCTGCCACACCTCCCCTCATGTCTCAGTAACTTCAATCCGTCCTTTCCTCATTACCTACTTCCAGGCAGGCAGCCACTCCTCTGAGCTGTTAAAATGATCCTTAGAAGTGACAATTCACATGCATTAGCTCATTATCCTCACAACAACCTGATGGGGGAGGTATCTGAGGTGTTACCCCAGTTTTACAGGCAAGACAACTGAGGCTCTTTGTCTTTGTTCACACAGCTAGTAAGTAGCAGGATTAGAACACAGGTCTCTCCTAACACAAAGTCCCCTTTAATCCACTGATGGTGGAATTTCTGCAATCAAAAACATTCTCCCAATCAGAGCAAAGAGGGGTGGGGACAAGAGCTGTGATTTCATTGGCACAGGGCCCTCCCAGATGAGCAAACTCCCTCCACCAACGCAGGGCAGCACCTTCTTTGAAACCAGAGGGTCAGAGAGTTCCCTGGGATAGTCAGAGGTGGTTTGTGGTCACACAGACAGTGTGTGTCCAAGGATCCCTCATGTCTCACTGCCTCGGGCAATCACGTTCTCATCAACATTTAGAACTTCTAGCTGTGGGACCCTGGGCAAGTCACTTAACCCCATTGCCTAGCCAAAAAAAAAAAAAATATATATATATATACACACATACATATATATATATACACGCACACATACATATATATAGAGAGAGAGAGAGAGAACATTGAGTGGGGCAGGTAGATAGGACATGGTAGTCTCTGTCCTCATGGGCTTTACAATCAAGAAAGGAGATGAAAGAGAATTATATTACACAAAAGTATATGCCACAAAAACAGGTACTTTGAATATTTCTGAATTTTTAAATAAAGTAGTAATAAGTACTTATAAGAATAGCAACATGTCCCAGCAGCATTTCTATGTGAATGCGGCCAAAAGAGATGAGAACAAGAAAAATAACAATGATAATAATGAGAGGCGAAAGAGCACCAAGAAGGCCTAGGTTCCAGCCTTTCCTCTGACACATACTAGCCACACAACTTAGCCCTGGCTAACTCCCTAAGCCCCAAGCACTTCTCCAAAATGAGTTACCTTCCCCGACAGGTGGTGATCTGCATCTGTAAAGGAAGCTTCTATGCATGGGAGTTTCCCAGGCAGATAAAATCCATACAAATAGCATTCGATGTGTCAGGCACTACGCTAAGTGCTTTACAAATATCATCCCATTTAATCCTGATAACAACCCCCAGAGGTAGGTGGTATTGTTATCCCCATTGTACTGAAGGGAAACCTGAGGCACACAGTGGTTAAGTGATTTGCCTAGGGTCATAGAGCTATTAAGTGTCAGACAGTAGGATTTTAATTCAGGCCCAGTGCTCTATCCATTGCACCATCTAAAAAAATAACAAGAAAAATGAGAAGGCCTTGTATAAAGCAAGCCTTGGGTTAGAGTCCTGCCCTCATATCAATGAAGTCACAGGGTCAATTAAAAAAAATTCTTTTTATGATTTAAAATCATGATAGAAACAGGAAAGAAACAACTGTGACCCATGATTATCTGTGTTCCCTCAGACTACCAGTGGTAGAGAAGGGGCCCATCTACATTGGTGGGGGAAGTTTCCTCACTAGGAAATCATTGGGTCTGCCCAAGAATAGGAGGGTAGTCTTCGTTCGAAGCCCCACTTTATATTAAACGTACATTAAATTGTACACGTTGTCCCCCAAATAGTTCCATGCTCTTCCAAAGCCCCAGCAAACCTGAACTCTCCTCTCCCTGGTTGTGTGACCTTGGACAAATGGCTTCCCTTCTGTTTCCCCATCTGGACACAGAGGGGATGAGGGCAGATCGCCAAGGTCCAGTCTACCCCCCTGTGACTCTCTAACGAATTCTATCCGGGCACAGACCAGGTACCTACCTAAGGCACCTTAAATCTGGAATGCTCCTCTCTGATCTGATCTGCTGGTATTTTCTGTCTCAGTGGGGAGAGCCGCAATCCCCGGAAGGACGGGTCGGGAAGCTCAGCTAATCACCCAAGACAGGAGACAGGAGCCTTGGGCAGGCTCTCTCCTTTTCAAAGCATCACCTTAGATAATAGCCATCTCGAAATACAACTCTCCAGCCCCGGGGGAAAGCCCACGCAAATCCACTAAACCAAATCAGGTTCCTAGTAAAATCTCAGGTGAGGCTCCCAGCAGCTTCCCTTCCCCCGGGGAAAACATCCTCTAGGGAAGGAAAGAAAAAACATCTAAGGTATTACTGAGGGGGCCAGGGCAACCAAGCCCCCAGCGCCCTAACACTGGGCTCCTAGGCAGCTCAGACAGGACTCAGCCCTTCTGGGCAGCCTTCTCCCTGACCCAGAGTGACCCAGGGGCAGGAAAGATGTCCCAAGACCCTGAAGATGAGTGAAACACTCTCTCTCTCTGCCTCTGTCTGTCTGTCTGTCTGTCTGTCTCTCTCTCTCTCCCACTGAGACTTTAAGAACTATTGACATTCAAAATCTTCTCTATATCAGAGAGACACTGGCAAAGAGACACAGAGTCATAGAAAAAGACAGGCAGAGACAGAGAAATAGAGAAATAGGGTCAGAAACAGAGACTCTGAGAGGCAGAACGACAGAGCCGACTGTAACCCCTAATGCCTCTGACTCAGCTGTACCAGCATCGCAGGTCCCTAAACATCTCGGCCACAAGGCGGGCACATTTGCCCACCTGGGGCCAGCAGCTCCCGGAGCGGCCCCTCCCTCTCTGCTCTTCTCCCTTCTCTGCCCTCCCTTCCTTCTCTCCCGGCTTTCTGGCTCTCTCTCAGTTTCTCCTCTCTCCATCTCCATTTCCTCCCTTCTCTCTCCCCTCTTCTCATCCTCAATCTCTCCATGCTCTTTTCCCTCTTTTTTCCTGCCTCTTCTCCTCGGAGCCTCCCTTTCCTGTCTCCTTCCCCTCTTCCCTTTCCTCTCCTC